TACCTTTAGAAATATTCTCAGTGATTGGATGTACAAGATGCGGTAGAGCTCCCCCAAAATGAGCAAAGAGCAACCACATGATAGGAGGGGGGAGGAGTAGGGAAAAAAAAAATAGAGGAATGAATATTCAGCAGAGAAAAAAAGGAAAAGAAAAAAAGGGAGCGGCGAAAAAATAGGAAAAGAGAAAGAAAAAAAGACCGGAAAAAAAATCTGAAAAATAAATAGAGAAGGACTGGATATAGAAGATTCTGATTGGGAAAGTAGATTAGATAAGAGTAAAAATAGGTGATATGTTAGCCTAATTGATTCCCATAATTATAGTTAAGAAAAATTAATTTCATCTCAACCATTGAAATAAAATCAATGGACCAAACGAAAGTAACTAAGAGGATCCAAATCCATAAAGCCTATCTGTTAATTTTGAACACAAACAACCAGCTGGATCACTCACTGCAAGCACAGCTTCTAGGTTGGGCTTGGCCCTCTCAGGGCCTGTCTTCGAGTTGTGCGTGCCCACAAATAAAAAGTTTAATTGCTGTCAGTAGTTTTCGGCCCAAGCTTCAAATGTTTTCAAATTAAACAAAAAACCATAAGGTTTTCATGTATTATGTTTTATGGAGCCTTTTAATTATCAATCTAATGAAATAATATTCCATTCACACCTATAATAAACCGTAATTATATTCTCGTTACAAGTTTAAAATAACTTTATAGTTATTTTTGAATCTCATAGGTAATTACAAGTTGGCAAATATCACCATGACATCAACAAACAAGGCATATGCATGACACTAGACTCTTCATGCTAAGCCTACGCAATCAAAAGTTTGCAAGCAACTCCCAAACCAGTAGAAATCTTTGCACAGGAGCCAAGTCACGAACACAGAGCATTACCAGCACGACGCTACAAATATCCACGCTTCTTCCCCTTCATCCCTCGCCTCCGTCGCATGCTAGCAAAGCACACTCTCAATTCTTTCACTTCTCCCACTAAAATGGCCATCATCGTTGTGTTTGTTTCACTCGGTGCCCTCTTGTTCCTTGCTGTTGCTCTATGTTGTTTCCTCAAGATGACGAACAAGAAGAAGAAGATGGTTCAAGAGGCTGATGCTGTTAATGTCTCTGACCGTGTTCATAAGCATGAGACTGTGCTTCCAGGCCCTCATGGACAACAATTTGTTGCCTTGACTGTTGATGAAGATATTAACATCGAAGGAACTGTGAGGAAGAATGAGGTCGAGATTTCAGGGAGAGATCTGGGCATCGGAGCAAAAGAAACTCCCATCTTCAACACTGAGCCTCGCATGAATGCATAAAACATTTGCTCCTGGCAATTTGTAATAAGGTGAATTCATCTGTGTGCGTTTGCAATGGCTATGTCAAGGGTGATTGTCGTCGTTCAGTGTATTTATAAATATTAGCAAGCTGCAGTCACTGTTCGTGTTAGAATTTAAATCAATTAATAAGAACAAAACAAAAAGGGGGTTTTAAAAACATATTGGATTTTGTTGGTTTGTGATAGAGATAATCATGAAAAACCGGTTCTTAGACCATCAACCTTTATAGAGGCAGATGAATGTGATAATTGAGATTGAAAAGAACAGAACAGATGAATGAGAACTACAAACATAGAGGTTCATCGAAGTTCGGAGCAGTCCAACAGCGCCCTTGGACATTATCCTTTTTATTATTCAGAATAAGAGAACAGAAAGGAAAAAAAAAAAAAAAAAAAAAAAAAAAAAAAAAAAAATATCCTTACAAATTAACAGATCCCAAAGCTTTTTTAAGTTATTTATACCATCGTATCATCGGAATTTATAGAATTCAACGAAGATAGAGAAGTATATAATTCTTATAGAATTGCATTTCCAATTCTTTTTCCTGAAAGGCAGCCTTCAATCAAATTCCAAATCAAACAGAACTCGACGCCTCAAACGTTTGGAGATGTCTGCCTAGTTGTCTGACAGACTACGACAAAGTAACTGTAGCTTGATTCAGAGATAATCATGGGAAAAAAAACCGATCCTTTAATAATACGCGTATAACACTCTAGACTATTGACAAAATAACTGTAGCTTGGCTTCTAGGTAAGATAATCATGTAGAACCACGAAGCCCTGCTCAGCGGGCTAATGGAGGTTTTATGAGGCGCTCATTTACGCTCTGATGCGGTCCTAGCTAGCGGCAGCCATAGCTTACACGGACCACTTCCATCCTATAATGATCAAACTTGGCACTAGCGGCAGCCATAGCTTACACGGACCACTTCCATCCTATAATGATCAAACTTGGCAGAAGCTCAAACTTGTCCAAATCGCTCAAAACACTAGTCAAAATTTCCTTTGTTTTGACAAATTTCCTTCGTTTTGGCATTCAAAATCATGTCAAAGATCTGCTTTCCTTTTTAGCTCACTAGTACAAATAGTAGCAGCCCCAACGGGTGGTAGAACCCGTTGGGGGCTAGTTTTACCCGCACCAACGGTTTAACCGTTGGGGCAATCCAGTTTATCTCCGCCCTCCTCCTCTCGTCGTCGTCGGAGCTCTCTCGCCGCCCCCTCCCTCTCTCGTCACCAAAACCAGCGCCGCCCTCCCTCCCTCCCTCCCTCTCAATCCCTCGCTCTCTCTCTTGCTCTGTATTCTCAACTCAAGTACGAGATCTCGTTCAAAGGTGAGCTTGATTTCGATCTTGTTCTGTCTAATTTTGCTTTAGATTTCAGTTGATGTGAAGTTTTTATGCGGGATCTGGATCTCGTTTGGGCGATTCTAGACTGTGATTAGCTTTAGATTGGATCTAGGGTTTTTAGTAGGTTTATCAGAGATTTGGGTGCTCTTGTTCTAGATCTGTGCATTTTTTTTTTGAATTCTGAGCATTTTATCTATTTATTTAGGTTTAAAGCAGTAAGAACTAATCTATTGAATCTCATCATGATAATTTGCCTTTGAAATTGATGAGTTTTTGGTTCTATTTCGTTTCGATGCATGTCTAGTGTTCGATTGAATGCTTTAAAAAGACATAATTTTTATGGTTTATGATGTGTTTTATGGCACAAAAATTATCTTTTAAACCTATTTACATCCTATACGTGCCTCTTTCAGTGTAGAAAGGTATATCAACAGCCTCGTTTGTAGAAAGGTAGTACACAAGTTCGGTTCTCTCAAGCACACGAGTCATTTGGAGGGTTATATCATTTGGTGGATAAATGTTAAAGGAATCATAAACTTTAATGTGCTGTTGGGAAATCAACACTAATACACGCTTATTTCGTAGAGAAGTGTTTTCAATGATTCAAGGAATTTGTTCAATCAACACCATAACATGAGCTATGATTTTTAACCCTCATGTATAGCCTATCATCCCTATTTGTAGATTAATTTCTTTTAACACATGTAAGTCATCTAACTTATATGTAAGCGCATTATCATAAATTTATGACCATTCTCTTCTATCATTTTTTAGATACTCACCTGCAACATTGCATTAGACAGATAGTTTGTGAAAATTTATGACCATTCTCTTCTTTTCTTTCTTAGTTTAGACCAGGTGCTGTTAGGTTCTCTTCATTCTCATTTGCTTTTGGACACGATAGGGTTAGGATTAGTGTTGAAAAGTAAGGATATTGTTGAGGAGGAAGGATTCATGGGATGGTGCATGTGATTTTGGTGGTGTTATGTTATTTCTTGATCCCGAATATGTATTATGAAACTTGTAGTAAAATTCCAAAGAAAACTCTATTGCATAGACACCGTGGACCTCAAAGCAAACTGGAAAAAGAAAAAGGAAAGGAAGGAGGGAAAATAGCGATTCGGCTAATATTTATTATAATTGTAAGTAGAAAGCAATCAAACATCAATAGACTCTGAACTGTCTATCTGTCGGCATTTTACGATAAAGTTAAAAGATTTTATTCAGGTTGAATAGCTTAGGTGAGTTTCGGCGATGATTCCATTCCACTGGCTTTATGTTTTTTGCATTTCCATGACCAAAAAGGATACGTGTGAGTGTTATTCCTGTTTATTATATCTCTAAGGAAAGGTT